ATATATATATATACATGTAGTATACACATGTGCATAGTTTTAAATATCAGTTCCTAGGGAAAGTTATGACACATTTTTGCATAGAAGAACAGACTACTACATCATAACTTTCCTGATAACCTAATAAATGCCAATTGTTATGTTCTGCCTTTTTCCCTCCACAACAATTCTAAATAATATGAGTTACTTGTCATGTAGGCAAGAAAAGACTTTGTCTTCTAAAAATTAAGGTTCTGAAGAGAAAAATACTACCCAGGAGAGAAAATAATGAAAACCAAATCCTGTTTTTCTAAGATTACCTTTATTCTCTTTTTTTATCTCTGTCAAGATAGACAAAGTAATATTCATCACTCAGCACAGTGTCAGCCTTGCTGGAGATATTAGATAATACATCTAATATATTCAGGATTATAAATTTTGCTTTATCCAGGGAAAGTTTTATGATCTTTTTTTATAAAGTTATTTTATTTAATTTTAGTTATTATTTTTTTTCCAGTTTGATTAGAGAGAAAGAGACAAGAGAAAGAGACAGAGGGGAAGTAAGAAAGCAAGTCACCAGGTCTGGGACTTGAACCACTGTAGCACACATGGCAATCCAGCACCTTTAGCTACCATGCCACCTGCCAGCCCCATGATCTTCTTTTATTCTTAAAGCTTATTTATTTCTTCCATGTTAGAGAGAGAGAGGCAACCCCCGCACAACAGGGTCTTCATGCCCTGACCCATTCCCAGTCTTAACCATCCTGCACTGTGGGCTTGTTCATGTGTACCCAGTGAGTTCAGGGAAGCCTTAGGACTTGGACCAAGGACCTTTTCCATGTGGGTCCAGTTGCATTAGCTCTGTACCACCTCCCAGCCTGATGATCTTCTCTTAATGGCTGTTATATTGATTCAGTTTTTTTTAAAAAAAGATTTACTTAATTTTATTAGTATTGTTATTATTATTTTAATTCACCAGAAAGAGATAAAGAGAGACAGAGAGGGAAACTGAGAAAGCAAGCTTCTAGGTCTGGGACTCGAACCGTGGTAGGCCATGTGGAGATCCAGCACCTTAATCACCATACCACCTGTTGGTTCTTTTTTTTTTATAAGTTTTTTTAATATTTAATTTTATTCATTGATTCATTTATTTTTAAATTTGAACAGAGAGAGACATAGAGAGAAAGAGAGAGGGAAAGTGAGAAAGCAAGCCACCAGATCTGGGACTCAAACCATGCTCAGCCATGTGGGAATGTCCAGCACTTTGATCACTATGCCACCTGCTGGTCCCCACCCGTTGGCTCTTGATTCAATTTTATTACCAAACTCTTAACAACAGTTTTAATGTAAATTTATGTCAAAAATCAAGATTTTTTGTTTTGGTTTTATGTTTGTTTGCAACGAGCTCTAAGATGTTTCAACTACATTTAGAAAGATTTGTTTGAGCATGGTTATAGTCAACCTTTAACTCTTCAGTTTTATATATATAATTATATGTATGTGCATGTATATATGTGCTTAAGTAAAAACAAAATATATATGTATATGAGTACATATTGGGTCTTCAGAAAAATCATGATGCATTTTGCATGGAAAAATACACCATGACTTTCCTGACAACTTTATAAATACATATATAAAATTTGTACACACACACACATATACACACACACATATGTATATATCGACTTAATATATGTAATTTGTACACACACACATATAAGCAAAAAGAAAACCTTGTCAAGAAGACATGTAATCTTTTGATTTTTGTGAACTATTTTAAATTACATTTCACAAATGTAGAAATTGACTTGTATTTCACATACTCTTTGATCTGTTTGACTCCCTGTCCATTCACTTATGTTTTTCTCTGTATGAATTCTCCCTGGAACTTTTGAAATCAGAATCACTGGTCTTGCCAAAATCCCAAAGATCATGAGCTCCTGGTATCTCAACTCTGTCTTCTCCTGGATGTGCACGTGTGTGTTTCGTATTATTCAAACAATGGTGCCTGGAAAGAGATGCCAAAGATGTTACTTATCAGTTAAGGGTAGATATTTAGGTCGGTTACAATATGTTTCCTTGAGATCTGTTCTGAATCTGATTCCGGGGCTTCCAACTCAGCTATGAAGGGCGGGGTGCAGGCAGTGGCTTAACTGCTGCAGAATTAGGGAGCTAATATGTTTCTATGTTGATGCCATGTCTCCATGATGCAAAAACAAGCTTGATTACACAGATAGTAATCCATAAGGATACAGAGGAGAATGTAATGTAAGTGTAGTATCTACCAGACCATAAGTTCTTTTTTTGTTTTAAAGAATTATTCTATTTAACTTTATTTATTTCAATTTGACCAGAGAGGGACAAAGTGAGAGAGAGAGAGGGAAAGTGAGAAAGTAAGCCATGGGGACCAGCAGTTAGCGTAATGGCTATGTTGCTGGACTCCCATGTAGTCAACCGCGGTTCGCGTCGCAGACCTGGTGGCTTGAAAACTCACGCCGGGCGCGTGTGCGTGCGTGCCCAAGATCCCGAGAGGAGAATGGAGGAGAAGGGATTGCGGCGTGGCCATCCCCCCTGGGGGGTTGATTTCTCGCTTTCTCTCGCTGGGTCTGGCAGCCGTCCTTCAAAAAAAAAAAAAAAAAAAAAAAAAAAAGAAAGAAAGAAAGCCATGTCCAGGACTTGAACCATGGTCAGTCATGTGTGAGTCCAGCGTCTTTAATCACCACGCCACCTGCCAGCCCCTTGACCATAAATTCTGTGAATACAGAGCCACCCTAGGCTCAGAGCTTAACTCAGGTATCACACAGCAGATACTCAATAAATACTGACTGACTGTAGTAGATAAATGAATGACTACAGAGATGTGATTAAGAAGAACTAAGAGATTCGAAACCTTTGTCCATGTAAGATTATTAAAGCAATATAAATTAGCCCATCATACATTTTACTGTATTAGTTTGATACAGTTAAATGTTACATTTTTTGAGATTATTTTAAAAATATTTAATTCCATGTGTTACTATTGTTATTTTTAATGGAATTATTTATTTATTATTATTATTGTTAATACTATTTTTCACATGAGTTTTGCCAGAGAAAGACAAAGAGAGAGGGTGAGTGAGAAAGCAAGCCGCCAGGTCTGGGATTCAAACCATGGCCGGCCATATGGGTATTTCCGATGAGACACAGGCAGACTGTCATCAACCATATACACCAACTGTCACACTCCATTCTTCCGATACCGTAATCGGGAACCATGGTTCTTACAGCACAGACAGAGAGCTTTGAAATCACCCATAATCTTATGCTGGCCGTCCTCACAGTTTGCTTTCATTTCTTTCTGTCTTCATAGTCTATATGTGGCTTTAAAACTATTTCCCAATACCAACAAAACTGAAGCATGGGACTGAACACTCTTCAGGCATATTGGAAAAACTAGAACCTCAGCCCCAGGATCTTGGCTCTCTTATTTTATCTAGAAGAGAATTTGTTTGAAACACAATTTGATGTCAATTTAGCTCTGACAGCAAGCACAGTTTATGTGAAGAGTTCATGTTTGCAAGACTGTGTTAGACCATGCAAGAGAAATTCTCTAAGGACCATGCGTTCTTTAAGATATATTTTATCTAAGCACACATGTATTAATGTCCCCTTAACTTGCAGACGTAGACAGTCCAGCACTTTAACTACTGTACCACATGCTGACCCCAGGATCAATACATTTTTAAAAATTTAACTTTATTTATTTGTTTTAATTTGACCTGAGAGGAGCAGAGTAGGGGTGGGGGGAGTGAGAAAGCAAGCTTCCAGGTTCGGGACTCGAACCACAGTTGGACATGTGGGAGTCCAGCACCCTTAACCACCATGCCATTTGCTGGCCCCTTGATAACTTTTTAATACCCTCAGTGATACTATTGTAAAACCAGAGTAGAGAATCTCTGCTCTAAATTCTAACAAAGTCCTAAAATTATTATGAAAATTATTAGTAAGCCTGTGGTATTTATCTGAAATACTTAGAGAAGGATTTAATCCACCCCTAATTAAAAGTAAGTATATGTCATTAAATTGTTATAATCAGAATTCAGAGTTTGCTAGAAAATTTACTCGATTTTGTTTGTCCTGCCCAAGGACACATGTAGCACAGGTCTCAAGGTGACAATGATGCTGGAAATAATGGTGGTTTATTATTGAAAGCTTGCTGGTTTTTCAGCATTGCTCTTGTTCCTCAAATTATATTTTCCAGACAACAGAGTGTGCTAAATTATAAAATTTTAATTTCTAAACTAAATATTTATATATATATATGTATATATACATATATATGTATACACATACACACACACACACACACACACACACATATATGGAGAGGCCATTGGGAAAGGTATACACAGTGGATTTATACTCCAGGCAAACTATTAACCCAAACAAGTATCTGAAATATACTAGAAGGAATGACCTCCTTTTACCTCTCTACCAGGGTTTCTCAACAATAGCATTATAATATTTTGGTCTAGACAACTCTTGTTTTTACGGGGTGTGCTGGGCATTTTTGGATGTGTAGCACTATCCCTGGTCTCTGCCCACTGAATGCCGGTATTATCCTCCCCTCCCATTTTGACAAATAAAAACTTCTCCAAATCTTGCTAGATACCCTTTAGGAAAGGGGACGGGCAAAACTATCCCTGCCCCAGTCTATACATACTTAGAAATATCATCTATGGGGAACCAGCAGTTAGTGTAATGGCTATGTCGCTGCACTTCCATGTAGTCGACCACGGTTCAAGTCCCAGACCCGGTGGCTTAAACTCACACCAGGCTTGTGTGTGTGCGTGCCCAAGATCCCGAGAGGAGAATGGAGGAGAAGGGATTGTGGCATGGCCATCCCCCCCGGAGGGTGATTTCTCGCTTTCTCTCTCTGTCTCTCTCTCTTTCTGGTGAGTGCACGTGCCCTATAGCAAAAGTCTCTCCAGAAAAAAAAAAAAAAAAGAAATATCCTCTATGTCATTTGTTAAAATTCCAGGATTATGATTTTATGTAGGGTACTTTGGTTCTAGAGATTCTAGCCTTCTGTTTTTTCCATGAAGGTGTGCCAGAAACTTTACAGAGGTGAATCTAGATAGTAGTTGACTCTCTGATTTTCCCGGGTAATTGACATCTCCGTTTTGAACGGTAAGGACAATGCTATGGACCAACTCTATTCACACACCGCTACCCCCAAAATAGAGATGGCTATGAAACCATAGGAATCCCATTGAAAAATCTCTGAAAGGTAAAGCACACCTTAAACTTTATGAAGTCAGCATTTCTGAGCTAATCATGCAGATAACCGGGACCTGGGCCAGGGTCATTCTAATCTACTTCTCTGTGCAGTTACAAATTATTTCATATGTTTCTATTTCAGGACCCCCAGAACACCCTGGCTATCCTGGACCCAAAACTGGCTATCCTGGACCTCAGGCTGGCTACCCTGGACCCCAGGCTGGCTACCCTGGACCCCAGGCTGGCTACCCAGTCCCACCAGCTGGCTATCCAGGGGCTGGCCCAGTTGGTTTTCCTGTCCAGAATCAGCCAATGTACCAGCAGCCAGGTGTTCCTGCAGGGGTACCACTGATGCCAGCACCACCAGCTCCACTGAACTGTCCACCCGGATTGGAATATCTAAGTCTGGTAACTTCACATACACAAGATACTCATAAAAAAAAGAAAGCTTTTCTTTCAGTTTACATAACTGGATTAGTAAATGAATAATTCAACAAAATCTGAATTGATAAAACAATAATTTTTGACATTTTAATTATTCTAGGTTGGGCTCACTTTTAAAGCAAAATACACAATGTCTTAGGGAAGTGTGTTTTCTGTGATCTTGAAAACAATCTATAGTAGTCAATAGTAAACATTTATAAGCAGTATTTTCCAAGTTTTTATCTGAAGCATCATACATGCATTAACTCACTAATTTTTATAAAATTTCTATGAAATATTACCATTTTACACAAGAGGAAATTCAGGTCCAGAAGAAGTTAAATAACTCACTAAGGGTCAAAAACCTAAAGAGATGGGACCGACCTTTTGTTCTGGAAACATTGCTACTGAATCCTGTGCTCTTTAATTCCAAAATCAAATAATTTGAAGACAGTTTATTCTGGATTCTAGTAGGTAGTACCTTACAAGAAGTTGATATTTTGTGTTTCATGAGATTTGCCTTTTTCTTATAATTAATACAATCACATTTCTGTAATTCTGCCTTTATTCTTTGGAAGACTCACTTTTATAACTACCACGAGTAAGTGAAATGAATTCGTGGGTTACTACCACGAGTAAGTGAAATGAATTCGTGGGTTACTACCACGAGTAAGTGAAATGAATTCGTGGGTTTCTGTACCACATGTTAATCTCAACAACATGTTAATATTTAACAACTGTTTAGAGTTAGAAATTGGTTCGGTAAAATGGGAATATGAAGTTCTGTGTGTCTAATCTGCAGACAAATAAATATTTCTTTTTTAAAGAATTATTTTATTTAACTTTATTTTATTTTGAGCAGAGAGGGACAGAGATGTAGAGAGGGAAAATGAGAAAGCAAGCAACCAGGTCTGGGACTCGATCCACGGGCTGCCATGTGGGAGTCCAGTGTCCTTAACTACCATGCCACCTGCCAGCCCCGATAAATATTTCTACAATAGCCAACCAGTTGTCAGCAAATCACTTGTCGCTCTTGCAGTCTCTATTCTAACTTAATCTCCCGCAAAGTACCTGGGGCAGTGTATATCACAAGAGTAGTTAGTAACTCATAGTTCTTTAAGAAATGCCCTGAAATAGACATTTGAAAAATCAGGATCTCATAAAATACATAAGAAAAGTTATCAGTTACTACAAATGACGATATATTTAGAAAATTTTTTGAGAGTTATAGAAAGAAGCTCTTTAAATGAATACAGAGGTTGTCAACATTTCTTTAGCTTCTTCCAGAAGGAACATTGTTTTCTAATTTTTATCAAGATCCCCTTGTAAGTCAATTTTACTTTTCCTGAATCTTCCCACATTAATAGTTAATTAATTTACTTTCAGTAAATATTTTATTAATTAAAAAAACTTTGTTTTATACTGTAAAGTAATATACACTTAAATATTGCTAATAGTAATAAATATTAATAACTGATTATATGTACTTTTAAAATATAAGCACATGAATATTAATTTGATTAGCTTAAAAACCTTTATTTGATAGATCCTTACAGTTTTGTCTTTTTTTTCCTGTAATAGATAGATCAGATACTGATTCATCAGCAAATTGAACTTCTGGAAGGTATGTATGCATTATAGTCATTTTTAGAAAGAAAAGAGGTTTATGCAAATAAATGCATATCGACCACTACAGATACAGCCATTAAACAGGAGGAACATTTAAATCCCTTCATTATTTGAATTTATATATGAATTATAATTATATGTTATATTTACGGAAAACACCTGAGAAAATGAATGAAAATCAACTATGATCTAGATTCACCTCCATAAAGTTTCAGGCATGCTGTCATGGGGAGTAGGCCCAAAATAATGACTTTAAACAAGAATTTCTAGACCAAAGTACCACATAAAAAATGGTAATTTTGGAATGTAATAAATACATTAATGCAGTGATTCTCTCCACAATAATGAAATGAGGAAGATTATTAGCAGCTTGTTTCTGGAAGTTAGGAGTCAGATAGTAAGATATTATTGTACTGAGCATCTGTCCTTAGGCTACAGATACTAACTTGGAAGGAAAACTACTGGGCCAGCCAGTGGCACGGTGGTTAAAGCAGCTGGCTCCCACGTGGCCTACTGTGTGGTTAGCTCCACTTCTGGCAACTTCAAAAGACATGCTCGATGGATTTGCGGGTGTGCCCAAAATCCTGAAAAGAAGGAGCAATGGAGGAGAAGGAATCACAGAATGACTATTTCTTAGGGAGGCTGCTTTTTTTACTTCCACCAGCTTTTGCTCTCTCTCTCTATCATTCTCTGGTGAATGCACACACTCTCTGAAATTTTTTTTTAAAAAACATCAAAGTCTGGGGACCAGCAGTTAGCGTAATGGCTATGTCGTTGGACTCCCACATAGTCGACCGCGGTTCGCGTCCCAGACCCAGTGGCTTAAAACTCACACCGGGCGCGTGTGCGTGTGTGCGTGCCTAAGATCCCGAGAGGAGAATGGAGGAGAAGGGATTGCGGCATGGCCATCCCCCCTGGGGGGGTGATTTCTCCCTTTCTGTTTCTCTGTCTCTCTGGCGAGCACACGCGCCCTATGGCAAAAACCTCTCCCAAAAAAAAGAAGATGAAGATTACTCAGGGTTTTTTTTTTAGCATCTGAGTATGTAATAAGCATTTACATTTTCTCTCAATTCAAAACTTCATAAATAATAACATAAGCATGAAATTGTATTGTTTTGTTTTTTAAGTAACTAGAAGGAAATTTAGCAATTATGTAAGCCCATGTTGCTTTACAAATTAAAAAATTTCAGTTTTTGAGATTAAGCTACTTAGTGAAAAAATTAGTTGGATAATAAATTTCTTTTCAAAATCAGTTCTATTTTTTTTTCAGCAAACATTTGACTGTGGCAGATCTTGAATGCATAGGTGATTCTTAAAGATTCAGAGTTCAAGGCCTGTCTGAGTCCTCACAAAGACACCTCAAGAAGTTCATGGTTGTAGGACTTGCAAATGACTTCTCCGACTACAGGTGTTTTCACATAGACATTAGAGAATCATTTTACCTCCTTGTATTTCTTTTACCCCTCATTATTTCAGACAGGCTTCTGACAGACTATGACTCAAAATATGGAAGGATGGAAGGCTATACACAGATAGGACTATCAGTTGACCCTGGCTCTAGACAAAGAGAGGTTTCCAATGTATGAATCAATTTGGACAGAACTGAGTAAGAGACCATGAAAGTGTCAGCATTTAGCATTCTTGCTTCCTCCATGAAGAGATTAGCCCCCTCTAAGGTACAGACTTCACTTAGGATGCTCATAGTTTAGATATCTTATGAGATGAAGCCCCCTGGTTAGGAAGACCCTTACCCCAAGTCCAGTACTCATCTTTTACTTCTAACCAATTACCATTGAGCTAAGCAGTGGTGTGTTGGACCCAAGGTGACACTCCAGGTAACTTTCCACTTTTACTCTCTCCCTTTAGACATGTGAGCATTACAAGTAAGCTCTCCCATTGCTTTTTCTCAGACATAGTGGGGGGAAAAAAAAAAAAAAGATATGATAAGTATGGTTTTAAAACAAAATTTCAAACCAGTAGATTTAATAATGGACTATATCATAGAGCATCTGTGGCAGTCATCCTACAACCCCTCCATGATACATGAAGACTGTACTGTAGGTGGACATTTAATCCATGTACCTAGCACCCCTGTGTCCCCTGGAGCATTGTTACAACTCTCAGCTGCAACCTCTCTGTTTCTGAGGAGAGTCTATGGAGTTAGGGAGATAGAACTTGTTTTCTTTGTGTGTTTTACATTTCTCTGAAGCTTAGGAGCCTCTCCTCGTCCTTTCCCTGTGCCTTTATTCTCTGCCTGGACCTTCTCTAAATGTCTTTCCATGTGGAATAGTGTCTAAAATCTTTATAACTAGACATTATAATATCTTAGCATTGATTATGTGTTTTTAAACATAATGGTGATCATGGCTTCCTCTTTTATACTTTTAGTCTTAACAGGTTTTGAAACTAATAACAAATACGAAATTAAGAACAGCCTTGGACAGAGAGTTTACTTTGCAGTAGAGGATACTGATTTCTGTACCAGAAATTGCTGTGGAGCATCTAGACCTTTTACCTTGAGAATTCTTGACAATTCGGGCCAAGAAGTCATAACTATGGAAAGACCATTAAGATGTAGCAGCTGTTGTTTCCCCTGCTGCCTTCAGGAGGTCAGTGAGCTCTTACTCTGGTAGTTTCTAAAATGGTTC